TCACTTTGGCCAGTGTGCTGTGGAAGAGCTAAGTTGGGCTACCGGGCGTACTGAAGTCCAAAGTTCTAAAAATCTAACAACCCCACAGTCCTACGGGTGGGGAAAAATCACACTTCTCAGGATAATACATATCACTTCTCCCTAAGGGATTGGAAATTCATTTGTTTGCATTTCGAGCCTTGCCGATTCTTCGTGATGGGACCCGAAGTCGTCGTGCACGTTGACAGTGCTGTGCGGGGTGAAAAGGAAGATCAGAGTCAAAAGCGCTCTGAAGCATCAGGATCGAGCAGTGCGGCACCTTTGACTGGTGGTGGAAAAGGGGGATATCTTGACCACAGTGGCAGCAGCGCCTCAGCTGGAGTGATCCCTGAGGGACCCAAAGAAGAAGAGAAGCCGCTGATTCCGTCAGTGCATGAAGGCGAGATGTGGGACGTGATCGAGGACGATCAAGGCCCGGAGATTCAGCCGGAGGTTGAATGAAGCCGATGTTGAGGACCCTCCTGTGCCACAGATCAATCCGAGTGAATACTGGATGCATGTGAAGTCAGGCACCAGATTGCACGAGGCTATAGCTGTGGCATGATCGCGAAGCGTGGGGAGCGGCAGACCATCCACATGGTCACCCCCTGCGCGGCCTGCCTACCATTAGGCCTTGCTCGCGGAAGGAAAGTCAAGTTTTCCTTTGAATTCCCCAAGCATGTTCACATCCCTGGCGAGTGCACAAGCATTCCCACCAATCGGGTGCTCGAGCTTTGCAAGCAGCGCCATTGAACTTGAAAGCATGAGCTAGATCTTGAAATAAAATTGCTATAGTTGCATAACTTTTCTTGGTCCACTCAAGCTTGATAGTAAGAGAGTTCAGCTCACTGCAATCCATCGAATCAGATTTGTGCGGGGTATGAAATATAACGTAAGAGTGAGATTCTCCCCAAAGGTCAAATGCAGTTCGATGGCCGCGTTCGAATTCAGGTTCGATTCACGCGCCATAGCCATAGAGGCTATTTTGGCCGGTTTTTGAGATGCGTGAATGACACGCACAAATCGAGAAAGAAGTACCAACTCCATCATCGAAGGTTCGATGCAATTTCGGCGGAGCTCGAACTGCCGTTCGAGCATTCGATGACCACGACGCGTGGCTCGAGTCGCGAAAGAAATTGCGCGGCAGAAGGGACTGCCACAACCATGACAACATGTAACATATCACAATGATCACTCAAAACAAAAGGACCGTGGCAACAAGCCGAGCCATAAACATTAGATTCCAGTTAGTGTAAAGGGAGGGAATAATGAAACGTTTTCGACAAAATATTCCCACACCCTGAATAGTGTAATGGGGGGGGATAACTAAAGTTTTTTCAACCAGGGAGCTTTTTTACACAAAATTGTACAACATGTTCTATTTATAGTTATTTATATAACGATTTGTCTGCTATTGTTGCCCTTTAAGATCCTTGCTTAACTAGAACGACTACCTACCACTACTGCTGCTGCTACTACTACTGCTGCAACTGCGACTGCTACCACAACTACCACTACCACTACCAATAGTGGCAAGATGACGACGACGACGACTACTACTACTACTGCTACTGAGTTTGCTTGATTCACGGAACTCTGACCTGAATACCTTTTTAACAAGAAAGAGCCTTATTAAAACTCATCGGTTTCATTGCTTTAAACAAATTTTCAAGGGGGTAGTGCGCAAGCCCCGGAGTGAATATAATCCGAATTGTTTAGGAGGTGGGATTAAGAAGTAGACTTGGGGTTTTAAGAAAATTATTGAGTTTTCTTTTATACGCTCTGCTATTGTTGTGTTGGGCAATGGCAGCCATACATGACCAACCATCAAATAACTATTTGTGTGAAAAAATAAGCGAAACAAGAAAAAGCAAAACAAAAGCAAATGATAATGAAAATGCAAAAGCAGCGCAATTTGCTTTGTTTTTGCACTTGTTTTGCTTTTTTGGGGTGCTTTTTTCCTGGTACCACTTCTGCACTTATGAGAACTGTTACCCGTCAGCAATATTTGTTGTACGCTCCTAGGACAAAAGCAAAAAAAAAGCGAAAAAATAATGCAAAAATAAAGCGAACCAACTGTGAAAATAACGTGAACAAAAAAGTGGAAAAAAGCGACAAACACGAACAGCTACATGTTTTCGCTTTTTTGTTTGCTTTACCTTTTGCTAAAAATATGTTGCTTTATAGATTTATTTTGGCTACTTGTATCTATGGCTGGCGCGCCCGACTCAATGCTATTGCTGCCCCTTAAGATCCTTGCTTAACTCTTCTGAGGTTTACTTGATTCATGGAAGTACGACGACGACTACAACTACTAGTTACTAGTTCTGTCCTAGTACTAGTCCTAGGAACTATCACTACTACTACTACTAATACTGCTTCTGCTTCTGCTTCTGCTGCTACTACTGCTACTGCTACTACTACGACCACTAGTTCTATCCTAGTACCACTACTAGTACTACCAGTACTACTGGTACTAGTGCTAGTACTATTGCGATGACGACGACTACTACTGCTACGACTTTTGGTGGTAAATGCTTCTCTTCAGACTCCCTCGATTGTTTGCTAGGAGCGGGGATGGTTTATGCTATTTAAGATCCAACATTAGTTGTTGTTTGCAATAGACTTGCATTGTTCAGGTCCCAGGTTCCTCGACCATCTTTGATATTTGACCGACATGACACCAGGAAGCTGGCCACTGACTGTCCGAGCGTAGCGCGAACGGCCCGCCCCGGGCTTGATGAAGCCCAACCGGCCCTCCACTAGCAGAACAAACACAAATAGGTTTACACAAATGTTCTCACATGTGCTCTCGTATGCTCTCATGTGTGTGCTCTCATATGCGTGCCTCATGTGTGTTTGTGTGTGCTCTCATATTTGTGCTCTCATGTGTATGCTTTCATATTGTGGGCTTTCGAGTGTATGCTCTCATGTGAGTGCTCTAGAGTGTGGAAGTCGGCTTATTCACCCTGATCTTCTGCTACTCTACTCAACATTGTTTGGGGTCTCTTAGTGCCCAGAAATTGTGCGCGTCTGTATGTGTCAGACTTCTTTGTACACCATTGACACTCCAACCTGAACACACAAGAGCTTCCTGCACACACACAATAAATGGCCAACCCTCCGCAAATCCAGATCCGTTGGTTTGCCTAATATGCATTTATCCGCCAGGGTTAGTGGCCGGGTCCCCCCCCTACAAAGTTATGAGGCAAATGCTACCAAGCTTGAAACGAGAGGTAAGAGCAGTGCCCTATGCCCGTATCGATCTCTCTTGCTCAGAACAAGGTGTTCAGAAGACCCACAAACACAAAGTAAGTGTCCTGCGGCATGTCATCTGCCATCGGCGGGCTTGGAAGGTCTTGCTGTCGCCTGCTCAAAGCAGCTGAATTGCATGCTTTGCCTGCTTCACACAAAACATTTGAAGCAAGTTACAAGTAAGTGTTCAATTCGCCAAGAACCGGGTTTGCTGTGGGCCCAATTATATAGTCAGTGAACTTCGAAGGGTCAACATGATGTATATGTTTTGAAGAGAGAGCTCAAAACTTTGGATTTCAACAGCTCAGTTCCATTCAAGCTGCCGGACGGAATCAGCGTAATACAGTTGAACATACATTTGCTCGCCGAGAAGACATCACTCTCAATTGTCAAGAGGTCAGCGCAAAAGTATGCCGCTGGATTTAGTGGAGATGGCATCCAGCTCCAGGCGACGTCACCGCCCATGGCCTGCATGAACAAGACATGTCAAGACTATACAGAAGCACGTTTGAACATCCAATCGCGCCTTCATGAAAATGTTGTTGGCGATGGTTTGGGAATTGTTTCTCATGACCTGTGCTGCCGCAGAGGTGAGATTAAAGCTGATTTCGAAGAAGAAGAGGTACTGGCTGCTCACGAAAAACGAGCCCTCCTCCAGCCGCCCCAGAAATAGCCACTTTGACGCAACTGCAGCCACAACCACAAACAAATCATAGAGCAGTGCCGCAAGTATGTTGATCACTGGCAGCAACAGCAAAATGACTATGAAGTCTTCCTCTGCTCCTGGTGCCTTGCCCCCCATCACCCAGGGCAAGTATCTTCCGGAAACGTAGGCCAAATCTACAATGAAGGGCCAGTAGCTCAGAATCTGCAGCCACCAGAGGAAGGGCAAAACCACTAGACTTGCAGGAAGACCTTGGATGTGTCGGCGGCGCAAATCATCAAATCATAACTTGAGACAGGGAAACGGGAAAGGTAGGGAGCCATCAGGAACGAACGAAAACCGCAGTATCAAAACGCAACAGGGCTGTGTAACAGCTGTGGTTTGTATATACATTTAAAACCGGTGCCAAAACTGTGCTGCGCAAATGCGGCCGCATGTTGCACGCACGCTTCGCGTACGAGTGGCCGGGTCGCGAGGAGAGGTCGCTACAACATGTAGTCTGGTGCAAGAAGCGGCTTATGTAAACCCTGTGCTGCGTGAGCATTTCTCGGCGTAGAAGCTGCAGCGTGTAAACACTGCTTTGTGCAGAAATATGTCAAGTCCTGTCAACTCCGTGGTGTCTAAACGCAAGGCTGCGTGGCAGTTGTGAGCTGCCTCTGTGCCGTGCATGCGCGCTCCGCATAAGAGTGGCCTGGGTCGCGAGGAGAGGTTGCTACAGCATGTGGTGTGGTGAGGTTTGTCACCACGGCTTTGCGTAGAGGCCGTGTTGCGTCAACGCTTGTTTGTGTAAAGCTATATGGTCTGAGAACGCTGGCTTGCGTAAAAGTTGCGGCGTGTAAATGCTGGCATGTGTAAGAGCTGTGGTCCCAGAGCTGCACGCGCTTTGTAAAGCCTGCAGGTGTGCATGCATTGTGTAAAACCCGAGCTGCACAACCTCATTGTAGGGGCATTGCTGTTGCCAGTGCATAGACTGCATGCTATGGTGGGCGATGCTAGTGCTGCTGGCGAGGGGCGGGGTCACCAAATGAATGACTTATATTGATAAATGATTCATCACCATGGAAGGGGGGGTCAACAGAATTGATCTATGTTTGGTCCCGAGCAGGCTGTTCAAGCTACCCCTTTGCTTCCCAAAGCAAACTCGTAAGGGCTACCTTTCGTGAAAAGATCGACACAAGCGGAAACTAGGAAACAAAATCGGCAAGCACAAGTTCGAGACCTGCTCCCAACTAGGCTAAGGAACTCATAGGTGTTCGCCGCGGAAACGACAAGAGACGATCGGAGTCGATGTCGCTTGAAAGCGTGGCGGTAGAAGTTCCAGCACTTCCATCATGTACTTTTTGAGCACCTACTTCTCCTGCATTCAAAGCACGGCTAGAGACGCTAGTTCATCCTCCTTTGCAGGTCAAATAATGTTCATCTTCCATCAAAACTCGACCCCCCAAACCTGTGACGGTAGAATGCGGCAGGACAAGGGCACCGTTGCCCACAGCAGATCCTGGCTTCAAAGTCGCATTGTGGCCAATCACCTCGGAACCAATAATGGAAACACTGGATCTACGGTACAATTTCCCATGAATGCCCATGACATACGATTCACAAAATCCAACAACGACTTCACCAAAAATTCGATCAATCTCCCAAAAACAGCACGTTCGCACATAAACAATCATAAACACGTTCAATGGCAAGGGTTGGTGTATCATACCGTCTGTTGGTGCTTGGTTTCTGTTCGTATACGGCAGCTTTGGAAGACCCAAGCATGAAGTGATGGTCCTCGAGGTCAGGCTGGTTTGCGCACCCAAACAAGACGAGAAAGGAATGTGTCGAATCTTTGGTGGCCTAGGGTCCTGAACAAGTCTAAGTCTTGCCTGCACTCACTTTTCAGCAAGCTACCGCTCTGAAGAGCTTGTTTCTTGTTCCCCGTCGGATGCTGCATAAAGGCAAGGGGAACTAGGATCACTGATGCCACCCAAAAACACTCAATTACTTTACTTCGAGTGATCCCCACCATGACATTTCAAAACAGCCACGTTGACATCACCCTCGTTGTGTATTTCAGCCCATAGCACAAGTCCTTCAGTGCCAAGTCTTACTGTTTTGTCCGAAGCGAATGCTTGCATCAGGAGACCTGTGCCCAACTAATAATACAACTCAGACCATTTCAGTAGTAGTCGTACTGGGCGGCCCAAAACTGGGAAACTTCCGGGGCCCGAGCAGTAGCAGGAGTAGTAGTAGTGGTGGTAGTAGCAGCGCACAGTTCGGGGCCCGATCTTCGGGGCCCGAACCTTGGAAACTTCCGGGGCCCTAGTAGGAGTAGTAGTGGTACTAGTAGTGGTAGTAGCAGTGTAGTAGTAGTAGTCGTCGTCGTCGTCGTCGTAGTAGCAGTAGTAGTAGTAGTGGTAGTAGTGGTAGTAGTAGTAGTAGTCGTGGTAGTAGTAGTAGTAGTGGTGGTAGTAGTACTAGTACTAGTGGTAGTGTGGTAGTAGTCGTCGTAGTCGTAGTCGTAGTCGTAGTCGAGTCGTAGTTGTAGTCGTAGTCGGAGTCGGGGTCGGGGTCGGAGTAGTAGTAGTAGTAGTAGTAGTAGTAGTGGTAGTAGTAGAAGTAGTAGTAGTAGGTAGTAGTAGTAATAGTAGTAGTAGTAGTAGTTTAGTGTAGTGTAGTAGTAGTAGTCGCTAGTAGTAGTAGTAGTAGTAGTAGTAGTAGTAGTAGTAGTGGTAGTGGTAGTGGTAGTGGTAGTGGTAGTGGTAGTGGTAGTGGTGGTAGTAGTAGTCGTAGTAGAAGTAGTACTAGTAGTAGTAGTAGTAGTAGAAGTAGTTGGTGGTGGTGGTAGTGGTTGTGTGGTTGTGTGTGTTGTGGTTGTGTGTTTGTGGTTGCGCTTGTGATTGTGTTTGTGGTTGTGCTTGTGGTTGCGTCTTTGTCATTGTGGCTGTGGTTGTGTTTGTGGTTGTGTGCTTGTCATTGCGCGCTTGTGGTTGTGGCTGTGGTTGCGTGTTTGTGGTTGTGTGTTTGTGGTTGTGTGTTTGTGGTTGTGTGTTTGTGGTGTTGTGTTTGTGGTCGTGTGT